GCTGGATGCAAGACGGCCAAAGAAATTTGGGACAAGTTGCAAGTCACGTATGAAGGTACCTCTCAGGTTAAAACTTCCCGCATAAATTCATTGAAACATCAGTTCGAGTTATTCAAGATGGAAGAGGGTGAATCGATCAGGCAGATGTATGAAAGGTTTACAAATATCGTAAACAGTCTGGAAAACTTAGGGAAGTCGTATGAAAGTGGGGACTTGGTGAGAAAAATCTTGTGGTGCTTGCCTGAAAAGTGGATTCCAAAAGTCACGGCTATAGAAGAAGCAAAAAATTTGGAAACATTAGCCATAGATGAATTGATTGGATCGCTGGCTACCCATGAAGAGAAGCTGGCTAAGACAGGAAGCGAGAAGGAAACCAGTGAGAAGGGAAAGAGAGGAGTAGCTTTTAAAGCAACTGGTTATGCTGAGGAACCTGAAGAACTTGAGGAATTGGAAGATGAGGAGCTTGCACTCCTAAGCAAGCAGATAAGCAGGCTGATTAGACTCAGGAAAGAAAAAAGACAAGGGAACTTCATAAGTAAGCCAAAGGAGTTCGAAAAGAATGATGGAGGAAAAGCCTCTCAAGGGAAAACGTTTGTAAGAAATCGGAGTGAGATAAGTCCAGCATCAAAGGGGATAAATTCGACAGGGTGTTTCAAATGTGGCAGAATGGGCCACATTAAAGCTGAGTGCCCACAGATGAAGAAGGAGAGAGCTCTGGCAGCAACCTGGAGTTGCAGTGAGGATGAAGATGAAGAAGATGATGAAGTAACTATCCACAGGTCATATATGGCGATTGCTCAAATGGAGGAAGAAGATGAAGTTTCAGAATCACCAGCTTCCTCATCCCAGGTAAGATCATCTAAACTAGACCAGTCATACAACACTGATGATGAAATACTAATTGAAATTATTAATGACATTCAAATAGAATTTGAAAATGTTAAAAACAAGTATAGTTCTTTAAAAAGAGAAAATGAGATTAATCTCAAACGGTTGGCTGAATTAGAACAAGAATTAGAACTGAGCAAACATCGAGAAATAACACTGAATACTAGTTTAATGCATACACGAGAAGAAAAGGAAGAGCTGCAATTAAAATTCGAAGGTCTCACCAGTAAGTTACAAGAAAGTAGAAATATGTATGGTAAAGATACAAAGTTTGGTGGAAGAAGGATAGAATGTTATTACTGCCATTCATATGGACACAAGATTAAGAACTGCAGAAGAAGACTCAGATCAGAAACTATGAGAAATAGAAATACACCCTGGGGTCAGAGTCCAACTAAACAAGTCTGGATAGCCAAATCTAAAAATGTTAAGAACAGTTCTACTAGTGAGTACATAGACTTTTCTAAAATCACAAAGGAACCCAAGAAAGTCTGGGTTTGCAAAACAAAATGAATGTTGTGTGTACAGTGTTGCCTTCAAGTGAGCACGGAGGTGACAAAATGGATCATGGACAGCGGGTGCTCACATCATATGACAGGTAATAAACTTCTTTTCTCTTCACTTAAACTAGGTATCTTTGGTAGAGTTTATTTTGGTGATAATAACTCGGCTGAAATTATTGGCAAGGGTCAAGTAGGAATTAGTCCTTGTATAAGGAATGTGATGCTGGTAGAAGGATTAAAACATAACCTAATTTCTATAAGTCAAATGTGTGGAAAGGACAACCGAGTGGTTTTTGAGTCTACTTGTTGCTATGTGGAAAATGTCAAAAACAAACAAATTCTATTCACTGGAAAGAGGAATGGAAAAATCTACACTATAGATCTCAATGACAAAAGAAGTTTTAATGAAATGTGTTTAGTAAGCTTGGAATCCAATGAACAACAAGATTGGCATAGGAGGTTAGGGCATGTCAATGTTGCTGTCCTATCTAAACTGGCCAGATTAAACTTGGTTAAGGGCTTGCCAAGAATCAACGAGAAGAAGGATTTCTTCTGTGATGCTTGTGCTAAAGGTAAACAAACCAGAGCAAGTTTCAAAAGTAAATCTGTTATATCCACCTCCAGAGTCTTAGAGCTATTGCATCTGGATTTATTTGGTCCTGCAAACGTAGTCAGTTATGGTGGGAAGTCCTATGCTTTTGTCATTGTGGACGATTATTCTAGGTTCACTTGGGTATTCTTCCTAGCTAAAAAGGATGAAGCTTTGGAAAACTTCAAAACGTTTGTTAAAAAGGTTGAAAATGAAAAGATTAGCAAAATTGCAAATATAAGAAGTGATCATGGAGGAGAATTTTGTTCTGATTTGTTTGAACAGTTTTGTAACGAATCAGGGATTTCACATAACTTTTCTGCTCCTAGAACTCCTCAACAAAATGGAGTAGTGGAACGTAAAAACAGAACTTTGATTAACATTGCTCGCACAATTCTTCATGATTACAATCTACCCAAGTACTTTTGGGCAGAGGCAGTCAACACTGCATGTTATCTAACTAATCGGGCTCTTATCAGATCAATCTTAAATAAAACTCCCTATGAAATTTGGAAAGGGCGAAAGCCTAATTTAGGATATCTCCATCCCTTTGGGTGTAAATGTTATGTCCTGAATACTAAGGATAATCTAGGGAAGTTCGATGCCAGATCGGATGAGTCAGTATTCTTAGGATACTCAAACTCTAGTAAAGCATACCGAGTTTTTAACAAGCGGACCCTCAAGGTTGAGGAGTCCGCAAATGTAATATTTGATGAGGGTATTGTTGAGTGTTCAGATTCACTGGATGATGATGATTTTGGACTTGGGACAAGCATTATGCAAGAGAAACCAGATCTGACAAATGCTTCTCAAGAGAAGAACCCAGAAGGATCTGCATTCAACGAAAAGGGTGTGTCAGGATCAGATCAAGCAAAGGGAACAGAGGTTATCAGGGGAGAAGAGTCTGAACAAAATACAATGCAGCCACCTCCACACATAGTCAAGAGACACCCTCCCAGTCAGATTATTGGCACATTGGACCAAGGTATGACAACTCGCTCTAAAACATTATCTTCCTTAGCAGCCTTTGTGTCTTTGATCGAACCTAGAAATGTTGAAGAAGCTCTTCAAGATGAATTCTGGACAGCTTCTATGTTTGAAGAAATGAACCAGTTTGAACGTGCAAATGTGTGGGAATTAGTCCCTAAACCTGAAAATCGAGCAATAATAGGTACAAAATGGATCTATAAAAACAAATCAGACGAAATAGGAACTATAACTAGAAATAAATCACGATTAGTGGCTCAGGGATATTGCCAGGAAGAGGGAATAGACTTTGAGGAAACCTTTGCCCCTGTGGCAAGGTTAGAAGCAATTCGTTTGCTTTGTGCTTTTGCTAGTTCGAAAGGTTTTAAACTTTTTCAAATGGATGTAAAAAGCGCGTTCTTAAATGGAGATCTAAAAGAAGAAGTCTATGTGTCTCAACCTCCAGGTTTTGAAAATCATAACTATCCTAACCATGTGTATAAACTTAAGAAAGCTCTTTATGGATTAAAACAGGCACCCAGAGCTTGGTATGATAAACTCAGCTCCTTTTTAATTGAAAATAAATTTAGAAGAGGGAAGGTAGACAAAACTCTGTTCATTAAAGAAGAAAAAGAACATATTCTGTTGGTTCAAGTCTACGTTGATGACATCATCTTTGGGTCTACAAGTGAGAATCTTTGCAAAGACTTTGAATCAAAAATGAAGGGGGCTTTTGAAATGAGCTTAATGGGAGAATTGAATTACTTTCTAGGGCTTCAGATCAAACAAACTCCTAATGGAACCTTCATTTGTCAAACCAAATACTTACAAAACATGCTAAAACGATTTGAACTAGGAAATTTAAAGCCAGCCATCACTCCCATGGCCGCAAACTCTAAATTGGATAAGGATGTTTCAGGAACAGCAGTAAATGAGAAAATGTTCAGAGGGATGATAGGATCTTTGCTTTATCTAACTGCTAGTCGTCCAGACATTATGTACAGTGTCTGTGTGTGTGCTCGATTTCAGAGTGCACCAAAGCAAAGTCATCTTAGTGCAGTCAAAAGAATTTTTCGTTATTTGAGTGGGTGTCCTGATCTCGGTTTGTGGTATTCTTGTGATTCTAGCTTAGAACTATTAGGATACTCAGATGCTGATTACGCAGGATGTGTTCTAGATAGAAAAAGTACTTCAGGGACGTGTCAGTTCCTAGGTACTTCATTAGTATCTTGGTTCAGCAAGAAACAGAACTCAGTGGCCTTGTCCACAGCCGAGGCTGAGTACATTGCAGCTGGGTGCTGCTGTACTCAGATTCTCTGGATGAAGCATCAGCTTCAAGACTATGGACTCTGTACAAACTCGGTTCCAGTGTTGTGTGATAACACAAGCTCTATAAATATGACAAAAAATCCTGTGCAACACTCTCGAACTAAGCACATTGACATTCGATACCATTTTATTCGAGACTTAGTGGAGGAAGGGCAAATTGAACTAGAGTTTGTCCCAACTTCATGTCAGTGGGCTGACATTCTCACTAAGCCCTTGGGCTCAGAATTGTTCATTCGCAATCGTCGAGAGCTAGGGTTGTTCTCTCTCAATGATATTGTGAATCCGTCTATTTCATCCCTAAAATCTCCTAATTAATCTTAGTTACCTTTCCTACTCTGATTGAAAATAAGTGTGGCCATCAAATCTTCTGGATTCCAACTTCCTTAACTTCTGCCAGAATTGTGTTCCTTTCGGACCAATCTTCAACTCTTTCCTTATTTCAACTCTGTTTGCCTAATCAATCCTATCCTCACCTTTAAAAAGGGTGGTCTCAGCTCAGGATCTCATCTCATCATATCTCTCAAACTAAAACCCCTTCTCTTCCGAAGTTTCCCATGGCGACTTCCAACAATCACGTAGCCTCCCTGCGTTTGGCTCAAGCTGCCATTTTCAATGGCAAAGGGTTTGAGGATGCAGCAGGCTATACTCGCTATCTACAGCAGTTCCAAGATCGTCCCCTCCATCCCTCCATCACTCTTGATCCTTCCAGGTTTAATAGATACGGAATGGATATTCCTCGCTTGATCAATACTATCGGATGGGGTGATATCTTGCCTAATCGAAACTTTGGTTTTCGTCCAGAGGCTGTTCGCATGTTTTACTCCAACATGAAGCCTTGTCTTCATATCACACCTCCTTGCTTCACAACGATAGTATACAATTACCTGATTACTATCAATGTGGAACTGTTATCATTACTCCTTGGGATTCCCATAGCTGGAGCAGAAGTCATGAATGAATTGGACTTTCATTCTGTTGAGTTCAATGAGGGAGATGCTCTGAGGTTATACACTCGTGATACCGGCCGGTATTATCCTTCTGAATTCCACACTGGTAGACTTCCGGATGATCTCAAAGTCATGCATTTTTACATCACAAGGTGTTTTCTGCCTAGATCCTTCGGTCTCAATACTATTTATCCATCGGATCTATGGATTCTGGCTAGTGCCAAAGAAAACAGGGTGATTAGTTATCCCCACCTGATGTTTGACCACATGTTGAACTATCATGCTGATAACTTTCATGCCGAGCTTCCTTTTGCTCCGCAAATCACTCAGATCCTACTAGCCTTAGGGCTTGATCTTCGTTTTAAGGTGGCTCGTGTAGACATGTTAGGGTCTCTACGTGCTCAGTTTGTTCTGCGCAAGATGGATGCCTCTGTGGGGCGTCGTGCTCCGGTGGTCAATGCTCCAGGGGGAGGAAATGAAGCTGCTGGAGTTCCTTCTGACTCTGATGGACTCCATCTGTCTGAATTGGAAAGAGATGAAGCGGAGGAAGAACCAGACAGGGCAGATATGGGTAGCCCTCTCAGGGATAATGGGAAGCGCCCTATGATAGATCCCTTAGAATTGGTTCGAGCCATGCTCAGACAGGATGAAGCTAGCAGCAGCAGCAGAAACCTGATGATGGAAGATGAAGAGGAAGCAATATCAGATTATGTGCCATCACCTAGGTTTTCTTTCTAAGTGGGGTGAGATGTCTAGCTTAGGGGGAGTTGTTCTCTAGAATAGGGGGAGTCAATAAAATGGTCCGTGTAAGGATCAGGTAGGTCGAGTCTAGTGTCTTGGTTTTACAGTACTGCTCTTGAATAATGCTCGCTCTGAGTCTGTGTCTTTTCAATTCAAAAGATGTTTGGATGTTCCTTAGAATCGGGTGTCAAACTACCTAATAAAATGATGGATGTTTTATTCATCTATTTGGAATGTGTAAGTCAAGCATAGAACAGGCTACACGTGACAGTTTGTTCAAGTGTGTGCAGGAACTCGCAAGCAGCTTAGAGGATCATTGACTGGCTTAGGGGGAGATTGTTGACAAGAAAAGCCAGTCACTTACCTCAATTCACAGAGAATTAAATCGTGATAGCACTTGGAAAGAATCATATATGCAAGGAAAGAACGATTGAGCAAATCAGAGGAGGTAGCACAAGAGGAAGGAATTCAAAAGGAAGACTTACCTTCTTAGAAACCAACGGCTAGAGGGTGGCATGATATATAGCTTGAGCAAGATCAATAAGAAGGCACTTTTCGAGGAGATCAAGATACACAGGAGAGGCTAAGGAAATAGTAGTGTAGATTGATAGCGAAAAGAGATCTTTAGCATTGTGTCTGGAGAGAAACAGTGTTAGAGGGCAAAAGCGTTGGACAACGTGGGAGCTGGAGAGCTCAGGTCACAAACTTCATTTGTAGAGTGTGTGTTAACCTTCCTGGACAGGACAGGTTAAGTTAGATAGCTGAGTGCGATCAACGAAACATATCAAGAGGATTAGTGGATCGTTGGAAATCACAAGATCGTGATATTCCAACCGTGGATTAGTCAGTATTGGGGTTCTTTTTCCCAATACTGGATACCACGTAAAAACTGAGCGTGCATCTTTCAATTTCTGCTTAATAACCTTCCCTCTGGGAGATACACTCTGTTTTGCTGCTTCTTCTCTGTTTTGCAGGAATTGAACCAGAGACATCCCTGGTAGCTCGTCTCATAGCAGAGGAAGACATTTCAGGTGGCAAGGTTAAGTGGAAGCGCTGCGTTTTAACTAACATTAAAGAAAACGGGCCAGACAAACCTTGGGCCCAATCGTTTTAATCAAAAGACCCAGTTCTGTACTAACACTTATTCAATCAGATTCACTGGTCATTTTCGATCAAAACTTCTTTCACCCTTTACTCTCACTTGTTCTTCCAAAAGACGTTTTAGGGTTTCAGGAATCGAGTTCGAAGAAGGTACTGAAGAAAGCTTCTCGCGCTCGAAGCTTTTAACAGATGATGACGATGATGATGATGATGATGAGGCAGAGAAGCTCGCTCAGACTCAGGTTCAGAGGTACTTAGGAGCTCCGATTACTTCTACTTCCTCGACGACATGTCGGGGTCCTGATGGACGCTTTCGAGCAGCATCTAGTTCTCAGCAGTGTGGTAACTCTAAGAAGAGGAAGAAGAGAGCCAACAAAGACAAGTCTTGGCTTCTTACGAGAGAATCAGTAGTGATGTGTACGGGCGGACCGATGATTCCCGACGTGATCCCTAGTTTTGCTGGTCACGTGGCCCATGTGTTGTGGACTTCACCTGAGCAGGATCGTGGGGTGCTTGAGTGCTACCATCGGAGTGCAACATTGGACATGTTGAAGAAATACAAGTGGAGTGTAGAAGGTTCTCAGGCAATGGTTCAGGCCACGGGGTTGTCTCACTTGCTCGAGTGCACGATGCCTCATTTGGATTCTGCCCTTTTGACGGCCTTTGTGGAGAGGTGGCAGCCAGACACTAACACCTTCCACATGCCATTTGGGGAGATGTCGATACTTATCCACGATGTTCACTACATTCTTCGTCTTCCAGTGGATGGAGCATTGTTGAGATATGACTCGCCGCAGCCGGAGGCTTTAAAGGCCGACATGTGTGGTCTTATTCGAGTTGGCGACTTGGAAGGGGCTGTTGGTGGTAAGTGGAGTACTATTTGGTACATGAATGGTGGCATGCATGGAGAGGGTGCTTTGTTTCGTGCTGGTGAGCTTCAGATTAAGGAGGTTGAGGTGCAGTGTTACTTGTTTCTGCTGCTAGGGTCCACATTGTTTGTGGACAAGAGTCGAGATCGCATTCGTCCTGCAGTCAACTTATATCTGAAGAAGTACCATGATGTGGCTGGGTACGCTTGGGGTGTTGGTACACTTGCCTATCTTTATAGACAGCTTGGTGTTGCTTCACGAGCTGGCGGTAAGGGAGTGTGTGGATATTTGACACTCTTGCAGGCTTGGATATATGAGTACTTCCCCGACTTTCGTCCTAATAGGGTGCAACAACATTCTCCAGCGGACCCTCGTGCTTCATTGTGGGTGTGTAGTCGTTTGAAGGGTAGAGATGATGCAAAAGAACGTTTAGTACGCTACCGTAGCATATTGGATGGCATGTCTGCGGATGATGTGACTTGGACTCCATACGGAGGACATGCTGGTGTAGAGGTTATGCGTTCTTTGTACAATGGTGTCATTCGATTTGCAGATGTGGCTGAGGGTTATGATCCTTCACGGTGCCTTCGACAATACGGATATCGACAGGCGATCCCACGACCCATGATGATACCAGACGATCACTTTCGTCCAGCATCTGCCAAGGACTACAATGTGACATGGTTTCCTGGTTATGATCAGTTTTGGACCATGTGGGAGAGCAATAGGTGGGCATTTGATGCTTTCTTTACACCGTGCGAACGTCCATCTGATGTCGACGAGGGCTTCATGGACTGGTACCGAGCTCACTCCCACCCATTGATCACCAGCCCCAGCGTTACTAGACAGATTCCTCGTGAATTGGTAAGTTGTTTTACATTATGAAACTTTATTAGGCATAAATTCACGATTAAATCATTCTAACATTTGTTTATTATTGTGGATAGATTCCGAGGCAAATTATGCAAAGGCTTTCACCCTTTCTTCGTGAGAGGGATCATGGTCGTTTCATTGAGCGCATGAACGAGTGGTGGGATTTACGTAGTTCATGTGACGATTTGATTGATCAGTACGATGGAGGAGCACCTCCTACGGGAGACCATTAGAGTGCATGTGATTTAGCTTATTTAACCTTTTTGTTTATGTTACTATCTGTGAGAACATTGATCTATCCTTGTGCGTATTGTATCATGTGTGAGAACATGGAGTTGTGCTTTTATTTATTTGACCTTGTGTTTATTGAACTATCTGTGAGAACATTGAAATATGTTTTTATGAGAACATGGAACCATTCTCGTGATATTTCATAACCAAAGAGCATCAAATCGTCATTGACGAATGTTGAAAGTTACATGTTCATTACTTCTACTAATTAACCTTTTGGGTTCAAACTATCATAATATCCTCTCTCCTCCAAGAATAATTGATCCCATCCATGCACGGACACATCATGATAGACATTCCAAAGACGGACAAATGGAGGCAATGGCAATCTACCGTCACCGAAGTCAACTCGCACCCAATGATCACCGGTGAAATGTAATGTCAGAATTCCACGAGGTCTTCTTACCCCCGATGGGGCCGTCAAAGGCAAAATGGAGTACCGACTTCCCTGAGAGAAGACAGCAATGACCCATGAATGTAACGTGGCAAAGACCCACAGATCCAAACTATCCATCCAGTTGGGTCGCGCACAACCAGTTTCGTGTTTCCAAGTCGCTCGCCGAATTGCTTCTTGTACTCCATAATTTCCAACTTCTTCATAGAACGGTTTGTAAAGCTCTGGGCGAATTTCTAGTTCCGCTAAGAGATCACGTCTCATCTGCCCCCAATTATGTTGAGAACCAGTGACAGCATGTGATATAGCACGATACCCACAATGCCCATCTCCAAGAGGATTGAACCAACCACGAAGAAGGGGTTTGACTACGCTTTCAAAGTTCCAACCATATGGGTAATCCTCCCACTTTCTTTTTTGATTGGCAATCCTAAATGGCGCGCCACCTATACAAATATATTGAACAAAAATGAGCAAATTGCAAGGTAGGTAACAATTAATAACATAAAGGCACTAAATCAGTTGAGGTTCAAACCTGTATTAACTTCCTCATCGTCTTGCCTATGGGACCCAATGCCTTGGGTAGACTTTGAGTTTGGACCTGTATCTTGCCTTTGTGACCTAGTGGGTGCGTCACCTATCCAAATGTATGAGAAAAACATATAAATTCAAGTAACCTAACCATCCATCTAAACAATGCCAAATCAATTGAGGTTTGGACCTGTATTAACTTCCCCCTCATCTTGCCTCTGAGACCCAACGCCCTGGGTGGGTTGTGAGTTTGGACCTGTATCTTGCCTCTGTGACCCAGTCGGTGCATCACCTATCCAATTGAATTAAAAAACAGATAAATTAAGGCAACCTAACCATCCATCTAAGCATGCTAAATTCAGGCAACCTAACCAGCCATCTAAACATACTAAATTCAGGCAACCTAGGCATCCATCTAAACAATGCTAAGTTAATGGGAACCTGTATTTTCTTCGTTAGTAGACTTTCTCTTCCGAGTTTGGGTGGGTTTTCTTGACTTGCGTTCCTTGGTCACATGCTCGAAGTAAGAAGGGTTTCTTGTGGTAGATGTCTTCCTCGGACGACCGGGCTTGGGATGTGTACCATGAGGTTCATCGATGCCATCATCCTCGGGATAAAGGTGACTTCGTAGCAAGCTAGTGGCTCCTAGAATTGTTGCATCATCTCTACGGAGAACCTCCTCTGCCATCCTCTGGAAAGTCTCGCGATTATAACGGTTGTGGTCTTCCCAAGCTGCACGGTTGGGAGGTTCTCGATAATTCAACGTGAACCAAAACTCAAACACCTCATAAGGGTAGAAGTCTCGATCTTCTTGACGTGCTCTCAACATCATACATCTACATGGGAGACCGTGAGTTGTTGGAGACGTACATGGACAAGGTTTTCCTTCCTTTGCTATTTCCCTAAGCATAAACCTCAGTGCAAATAGACTTATGGTTTTTGTTAACTCCCTAAAAGGAATTCCTTGAGCTCGTATCATCTCTTTTTGTCGAGAGTCCTCTAGAAGCTTTCTGATTTCACCATGTTGAGCTTCAATATGCCTGTGGTTAGTCTTATACACCTGTAAGAAAAATGAAGATAAAAAGAACAAGAACGTTAGAGAACCATCAACAAAGACCAACAATGAGAACATTAGAAAACTAACCGTGTCTATTGCCCCAGTAGATGATTGAAGCCACTTTTTGAAGGACGAGTGAGCGGCTTCGACCCTGTTGGAACTTGTATTGCCTAAATGTGCCACTTGGTTGGTATAAATTTAGCCCACATTTGTGCATTTGGTAACCACTCAGCTTTGATATAACCCCAAAGTCTTCCATATTCACGACCCCAAGAACGCCTGAAGTTGTCTAAGGCTATATTCATTGCTTCTTCTGTACGTGATTTTACCACAGGTTTCCAAGAATGCATGACCTGCTCCACAATTAGTTGGGCTCCGGGTATCTCAAGACCTTTCTTCTTCCGCACTTCAACCAAACATCTAGCCCGAATATTCTTGTCTATGTGCCAAAGACATAGTAAATGCCTAGATGATGGAAACATGACACTAACAGTCTCGACCAATCCTCCTGCCTTATCACTGACTATCGCATGTGGAGTGATAGATCCAAGAATGAATTGCAAGTGCCTCAAAATCCACTCGTAGGACTCCTTTGTCTCATCGTACACTAAAGCAGATGCAATGACGAAGTTCAGGCCCACCGGTGTCATGCCAACAATCTCAACCCACGGATACTCATACTTATTGGTCTTGTATGTTGCATCTATCACAATGACATGGTGCCAAGCTCGTAACATTTCAATCGAAACAGGATGCGCTAGAAACAAATGGGTAAGCAAGTTACCTTCCTCCATATAATGTACATAATAGTTCTTCTTTCGAGCATCGTGAAAGGTGAACTGCAAGGCTGTCATCTCACCAAGACTATCTTTCCTTATCTTTTGCAAAGCATTGTAAATTTGCTTTTTGGTGTGGTGACCTTCTTCTCCTTTTCTCTCGTTCACTGTCTCTAAAATATTTCTTGCTGGTACACGAGATGACTTAAGCTCTCGAATTAATTCCTTATCTTCCGGGGTGAGAACATTCCCTTTCCGTGCCCCCTCTCGAAAAAGCTCCAACGGATGATTGTGGAAACCACTATATTGACTCGGATTGTTCATGTTGGTCACTCCCATAATCAACCAACTCACTTCATTTTTTGGCCGCTCAATCTTGATCTGGAACTGGCATCCGGTCTTATTTGAAGAAGTAAGTTCTCGCTTTTTAACTGTCGGATCAGAAGGGTTGGACTTTCTCTTCTTACCATGAGTGCAAGTCAAATAAAATCGCCGACTATTTTCGTTTGGATTTTTTTTGTTCGACGTCCGCACTAAATAGAACCCTAAACCCTTGGCTATTTCACATGCTGCTTTATAGGCTTCTATCTCTGAATCGTATTTCACCCCTTTAACGAATGTCGGTGTATAATCAAAAGGACCCGAATGGGAACTTCTATCAATTTCCTAAAATATGTATAAAAAATAAAATTCATTCAACCTAACATAACATTTATTCAACCTAAAAATCCCTATGCAATTTATATTAACATAAAAGATTAGTAAATAATTTGTAACAAATAAAGTCCATTCACCTTAACATGTAATAGTAACATTCATACTAGAAACCACCCTATGTTCAATTAAATTGCTTAAATAGATTGCAACAAATCAAGTTCATTTCATAACGAAAATTCGTACTAAAATAAGTTAGTTCATAACATAAATACCTCATCGGAGTCGCTATCACTATTCATGGCAAGTATAGGACGGCAGAGCGGAACTGGATCAACGAATATCCTGAAATTAAATTAATAATAAATAATCAATTTAAATTGTCACACTTAAAATAAATGAATCATTTAAAATTGTAACATTTAACTACTTATTTATAAGTCTAATATGTATTGTTACATGTTTCTTCATAACTATTTTAAATTTATAAATGTCTTATTACATTAAATATTTTTTCAATAACAATGTATAATGTGCACATAATCATAATTAAACAAAATCCTATGGGCTCAAACGCAGGTAAGAAAATGGATTCAAATTCTGAAATTATAAATTCATTACTAATGGTTATATGGGCTCAGCCCATCCACTGATTATATGGGCTCAAACGCAGGCAAAAAAAGAGTGAATATGGTAGTAAACGCAGACAAAGTTTCGTTCGGCCACGGAGAGAAAAAGAAGTTTGACTGATGTTGGACCATAGAACAAACGAAAAAATGGCTACGTCTTACCAATGGCCGGCGATCTGGGACGTCTAGGGCGGGAGGAAGAAGGTACAGGAGTGGCGCCGTCGTCGAGCTGCTTCTCCGGCGAAGTGCAGTGAGGCGAAAGGGAATGGGCTTTCTCCGGATCTCCGTCTTCTCCGACAACGCAGCGGCAGAGGTGATGGCAGCTGGCCGGGAAGGCTGTGGCGGGAGGAACAGAGACAGAGGTCGGCGGTGAGAAACAGAAGGCCGGTGCAAGGGGAGAAACAGAGACCGGCAAGGAGAGACAGAGGTCGACGATGGCCAGCGAGCTGGGACGACTACGACGGGAGGAAGAATGAGTGCAGGAGTGGCGTCGACGTCGAGCTTCTTCTCCGGCAACAAGTGCGGTGCGGCGAACGGGAATGCACCTTCTCCGGATCTTCTCCAACAATGCAAACCCACCAGTGAGGCAGAGGTCGACGAGATTGGAGCTTGGGGAGCAGGTGAGAGAGAAGAGTGAAGGGCAGTTTGTCGGCTTGGGCAGTTTGTCGATATGCAGGGGCGATGGACAGTCGATATGCAGGGGACAGGGGTGATGTAGGAGAGAGGGGACTTGTGACTTGGTCTCTGGGAGAGTGTAGTGAGATGGAAGAGAGATATGTTTGGATTCTAGTACATAATTTGAAATTGATAATTGGACAAATAGGTAAATTAATATAATTTAGGACGATAGAAAGTAATTTTAAGGACGTCATTTAGCAATTCCCAAAAATAATAGTTCTCATATTACTTTTACTTGACCTCAAAGCATCTAGCGTCCATATCGCTGATGCTATAACCCACAAGAAAAGTCTAATTTTGTACTATCTCCACGTGTACTCCTTTTATTAGCCCTTTAAATGTCTCCCAAAAATCTTTCTGCAGTCCCCCTCCCTTCTTTGGAAGCCAAGGGGATGAGGTAACCGTAGTGACCAGTAACTATGTTTTAAGTTTATATTGAACTCAAAGCATCTAACGTCCATATCGCTGATGCTAACTATGACCTACAGAAAAAATGTCTAATTTTTGTACTATCCCCGTGTACTCTTTTTATTGGCCCTTTACATGTCTCCAAAAATATTTTTGCGTGCCCTCTCTTTGTAACGGTGTTTTAAGTATATATGTATGTATATATATACTAGAAAATTAGCCCGTGCTACGCTACGGTTTGAATTGTGAAATTGTAAGGAATAATTAAAAAAGGATTAAAGTATTCAATAAATAAGAAAAAAGAATCAAGGATATGCTTGCTTTTACCCATTCAAAATATAGAATAGTTTAATTTCACCATGTAAAATATATAAGGATTCTTAGTAGAATAAAAATAAGTGACGAGGGCAGATAAAAATCTTAAACAAATTATCCTAGTTTTGAAATAGGGCACTACTTAAAAAATAGTCAAACAACCAAGGCCAAATGTCTAATCAGAGGCTCCAAGTAATCATATTCATAAGTCCGCATAAGAGGTTTTCACTATGAATAGCAAAATATAATACTGTGGTTTCGTTAGTAATAATATAAATAATATTTTCATTTATCAGTCTTCCTTGACAAAAACTATCATGAACTCATTATGACAAATACAACAAAACGCTAGAAGTAGGGGAGATTTATTAGTATAACAAAATATAAGAGGCTAGTCAAATATGTTCATAAAATGGTCAATGTAGTACATGGAGGTCACCTATTGCAACAAATTCAAAAGGAGATCATGACCAGAGAAATTTGAATCATCATCTTGCTGTCTCTCTGTTTTCCACAACAGCTTATAGTTTAGCTTTTCATGGGAAAGTGATCTATAAATTGGGGAAAAAGCAATCCACACTAAATATATTTGAATGAGCAAATAAATCTACACATATCATGAAAGAAAGAAGAGTTTTTCACTGATCATGCAAAAGACCATTTATCAAACCATTGAACCATAACGCTAATTTGGCATTCTAAGCAAGAGTGTTTACCTTCGTGATGGGGAAAGAGATGAAATGTCTTCTTTAAGTGAAGAATGAAAAACGTACCATAAACTTGCTGTAGAAATTACAGACGCTGATAATTATGCCATGCTATCTCAAGTCAACAATTGCTTGCAAGTACTTCATGCCCTCTCTTCAAACATGTTTCATGACATTGAATGCTGATTTAAAAAACCACTTTTAAGTATGAAAAGAGAAGAGACAGAAATAAGATCATGATCTGAAGTTACCAGAGAACTTTGAATCGAGGCAATCAATAAGGGATTCATGATAAACCTGCTAACATGACCTAAGCTAATCATCAACTAATGTCATTGCTAACATGATAAATTGTGCTATCCCAACCCTACAATGAATCTCAAATTTAATCATACCCTTCTAGTTGGTTCAAATCAGCAATTCAAAACCCATAACATAAATAAAAAAGTAAAAACCAAATATAAATTCTCATTTCATGATTCACATACAGTAGGACTCAAAAGGGGAGAATAGATTCATATGAGAATAGATTCATATGTCCATTGCTTGCTTGAAAAGTTGCCTGCTGCATATTATCCCCGAGTTCATCTAGCAAAAGGCTGAAAATAAACAGTATTAACAGTGGGTCAATGAATCATTGCAAGCAACTCCTAATTAAACAAAGAGAATTGAATTTGGGTCTCACCTTAGGTTCGATCATTTACGGGAGAAGCACATTGAAATTGAAAAGATGAAAAATACAAAGGGAGAAGGGTACAAACACATCCTCGGACTTGCCCCATTGCCATTCCTACTGTAGGTTATGCACCCATCAATAACAAAATCTGGACCCTTCATTTTGAAAATCCAGATCTAAGGATGGAGAATTAAATATCATTTTTATTTTCACTAGCTTTCTTAATTGACTCATATCTTTTACGTTTTAATTCGGATTTTAATTTTTTTTTGCACAGATGGAACGAGTTCATCGTGCTCTACAAAATGAGATCAATTTTCAATATTTTTTTAGAAAAAAAAAATTCTGGCATCTCGGTACCAACTGCATACCATATGGTATCTTCTTTGTTTTTAATTCGTTTTTGAAAACGTTTGCATAGAAGGGACGAGTTCATCATGATCTACTGGATCTACAAATTTCTGGGTGAACAAATTACAGGACCAAAAAATACCACACAATACCATACAATACCACCCTGGTACGGGGTGGTATTGTATGGTATCTTCTTCGTTTTTAATTCGTTTTTGAAAATGTTTGCACAGAAGGGACGAGTTCATCATTATCTATTGGATCTACAAATTTTTGGGTGAACAAATTACAGGACCAAAAAATACCACACAATACCATACAATACCACCCTGGTACGGGGTGGTATTGTGTGGTATACAATGTTAAAAGTCGTAAATTACAATTAATATACTTATACTATTATGTATTCAACCATCCTACAGTATTGGTTTGTTCATACCACCATGGTACGTTTTTCAAAACATAGGTATGCTTTTATTTCAATACCAGTCAATACCATATGGTATAGGCTGGAAAAAAATGGCTCAATTTTTTTTGTTTGAAAAATATATTAAAGTGGATATCATTTTGAAGAGCACAATTAATCTGATCTAACTGTGCAAAAAAAATTAAATTTCGACTTAAAATGAGCGAGAAATCGTCCGTCAAATATTAAAGAGGGAAAAA